AACTATGTTCAAAAAATCACCTAGACCAAATTTCTTGAAATTTGATTTGATTCCAGTTGGAGTGGATAACAATATGAGTTGTCTATCTCTGGAATTTGAAATCACAAATTCTGGTTGTGTAAAACTCAAGTTATGGATTTTTTCCCGAAGTTGACAGAATGCATCCGGGAATAACTAGATCCAGTTTTGATAATAAATTTGACCCATCTACCCATTGAATTTATTCACGAGATTTTAACATATAATTCTCCTATGAGTAAAGTGTCTACAGTTTAAATTTTGTAATTTTTGAATCCCATTTAGTTGTCAAACGAAATTTATTTCAAAAAAGTGGGGCAAGCTGAAAATTAAAAAAAAAAAATCGAAGGAACAATTCTTAGCTTTGTAATGGGTTCTGAAGTCATAATTCCTTTTTTTTTTGTCCCAATTAAATTTCTGCATTTTTATAAACAAATCCAGGTAGAATTTTATGAAGTTAAGATCTTTAGAATGTCACGAGTCCCTAGGATTCAGGACATTACAGCTTGGTATTAGAGCCCGATTTTACTTTCCTGTAGACTAGTGTTAAAAATCTTATTGGTTTCAAAATTTTCAAAACTTTTAGAAAGAATCGAAAATCTATAATAAATTATGTGTCAACACTATCCCCTCCTCACGCCATGCCGACGGGGAGGTAAATGAAAAGTTTGATGACATCTATATGTTTTAGATAGAATACCAAGTATAGTTGATGGTATAATTGTGTCCATTATAGGAAAAAAATAATAATAATATGCATGATATGTTGGAAGGATACAATTAAGCCTGTCGTGTGGATATTGTGTATGAAAAAATTGCTTAGGATAGACAATTTGAGTTTAAAGGGTATAGGAAACCCACCTAAACTAGACTTTACATAATTGGTATAATGGATATGGCACGAATGATAAGGATCTGTAGAGAGTCCGTCTAGAAGAGACCAAGCCCTTAGAGCAACCTTTATTAGAAACTATGAAGAGTACCAACGGGACCTGAGACACGATATAGGTCGGCATATCCAAGAGATGTGGTGTTTATGAATGGAGGTGAGACAACTTGGCCTCCCGTTTACCGGTCGTCAAGCCACACGCCACCTCATTGACACCTTACCTGAAGGGTGGCAGGAAATTGCAAAGGAGATCTACAATTGGCTTTGGATGGTCATCGTACCCACTGTACCTCGAAAGATTTATTTCCAAGCCTTTTGTTTTGAGCAAAGTGCTCGATGGAGGGAAGACTCTAGACCCATTGTCCAAGATATTGATAGTGATGCACCACCACCTAACTCAGATGATGAGGAATAGTTATAGAATAATATTTATGTGTGGTTTTTAGTTTAGCAATCATTTTATCAGTAATAAGGTTAGTAGGATTTCATTTCTTCTGTTGGTGCACCAAATCATAAATTGTATCTCCTCATAAATGGATCTAGATAATAATAAAATATGTTATTTTCTATTATGGCCTCCCATTAAATTGTACAATGTGTGATTGTTGTAAACTTTCTATGGATTAAAAACCTATCTTGTTTTGTATGAAAGGAAATTACTACAACATCATACGTAAGGATAATTAGGGAGCTGCAGCAAGTAGTGGAAAAAATGAGACGAGTGCTTTTGGCACAAACAAATCCGGCAACGCCAATGGCTCCAACTAGATAAGATGTACAGACATCGCCACCCATCATAACACAAATTGTCCCTACACCATCTACTACTCTTGCACCAACTATTGCTCCAATTGTGCTAATCATTGAGCAATTCTGCCGATACCGACCTCTTAGCTTCGATGGAGGTAATGACCTTTGGCTGTAGATGAGTGGATTCGTACGATTGAGAAGATCTTTTGGCACATCTCGTGCTCAAAAAACTAAAAGGTATTGTGTGCTGAGGTCATGCTAGTGGGGGGAACCGACCACTGGTAGGAATCTGCTTTTCGTACTCGTACGGAGACGAAAGAGCATAATATGACATGGGATTAATTTAAGACTAAAATGCTAGAGAAATATTTTTCCCAAGTTCTCCGTGACTACAAGGAAGCCGAGTTCTTGCAGTTGATTCAAGGGCATATGGATATTACTGAATACGAGAGAAAGTTTGAACAACTATCTCGATATGCACCACATCTGATTAGCACCGAGCAAATGAAGGCAAGGCAATATGAAAGGGGTCTACACCCTAAAATCAGGCAGATTGTGAGTTCTCATGAGCTGACTACATTTGGAGAAGTTGTGAATAAGGCCCAGACTGTGACATATACTGGTGCCAAGCATAAAATTCAAAGTCAATGGCATTAGAATAGGGATGAAAAATCAAGTTCACACAAGAAGCCTAACAATGGATTTAATCCTAGTCAGGCTAGCAACACCATAAATCCCTGTCCTAAGTATAAGAAGAACCACAGAGGAGAATTTTTTGTAGGGAAATGTGTATGCTATAGATGTGGTCAGTTAGGCCACTATGCTCATTGATGCCGGACATTGCTAAGTAAGGAGGATGATAAGGCTGAGAAAGGAAAGGCTCGGGTCTTTTCCATGACCCATGTTGAAGCTTATTAGGATCCGGACGTAATCACAGCTATCCTATCTATCTCTGGCAACCCTATGTATGTTCTTATTGATTCTAGTGCACCGTATTCATTCATATCTACTATGTGCTTAGCTAGAATTGGTGTGGTATGTGAAAAAGATGATGGTATACTAGAAATTAGTATGCCGTTAGGAGGAATTATAGATACTGATAAGATAGGTAAAGCGGTAGAGATAGATTTTGATGGGTTAATCTTAAACGCGGATCTGTACATAATCGAGATGAAGGATTTAGACATCATTTTGGGCATGGATTGGTTATGTAGCAATCAAGCAACCATAAATTATTTTGAGAAAGAGGTAGTGTTTCAAAGACCTGGTGAAAAAGAATTTAGATTTTATGGATCCAAGATTAAAGTACTTTCTCGCCTCATCTCAGCCATGCAAGTTGAGAAATTGCTAAAGAAAGGATCCTGCCAAGGATATTTGGTTAACCTTACTGACACATTAGAAGGAAAGACAACTATGGATAACATACCAATAGTAAGAGAGTATCCAGATGTATTTTTCGACGACCTACTAGATATTCAACCTGATAGGCAAGTAGAATTTACAATTGATTTGATCCCTAGCTAATCATTGAGCAATTCTGCCGATACCGACCTCTTAGCTTCGATGGAGGTAATGACCTTTGGCTGTAGATGAGTGGATTCGTGCGATTGAGAAGATCTTTTGGCACATCTAGTGCTCAAAAAACTAAAAGGTATTGTGTGCTGAGGTCATGCTAGTGGGGGGAACCGACCACTGGTAGGAATCTGCTTTTCGTACTCGTACGGAGACGAAAGAGCATAATATGACATGGGATTAATTTAAGACTAAAATGCTAGAGAAATATTTTTCCCAAGTTCTCCGTGACTACAAGGAAGCCGAGTTCTTGCAGTTGATTCAAGGGCATATGGATATTACTGAATACGAGAGAAAGTTTGAACAACTATCTCGATATGCACCACATCTGATTAGCACCGAGCAAATGAAGGCAAGGCAATATGAAAGGGGTCTACACCCTAAAATCAGGCAGATTGTGAGTTCTCATGAGCTGACTACATTTGGAGAAGTTGTGAATAAGGCCCAGACTGTGACATATACTGGTGCCAAGCATAAAATTCAAAGTCAATGGCATTAGAATAGGGATGAAAAATCAAGTTCACACAAGAAGCCTAACAATGGATTTAATCCTAGTCAGGCTAGCAACACCATAAATCCCTGTCCTAAGTATAAGAAGAACCACAGAGGAGAATTTTTTGTAGGGAAATGTGTATGCTATAGATGTGGTCAGTTAGGCCACTATGCTCATTGATGCCGGACATTGCTAAGTAAGGAGGATGATAAGGCTGAGAAAGGAAAGGCTCGGGTCTTTTCCATGACCCATGTTGAAGCTTATTAGGATCCGGACGTAATCACAGCTATCCTATCTATCTCTGGCAACCCTATGTATGTTCTTATTGATTCTAGTGCACCGTATTCATTCATATCTACTATGTGCTTAGCTAGAATTGGTGTGGTATGTGAAAAAGATGATGGTATACTAGAAATTAGTATGCCGTTAGGAGGAATTATAGATACTGATAAGATAGGTAAAGCGGTAGAGATAGATTTTGATGGGTTAATCTTAAACGCGGATCTGTACATAATCGAGATGAAGGATTTAGACATCATTTTGGGCATGGATTGGTTATGTAGCAATCAAGCAACCATAAATTATTTTGAGAAAGAGGTAGTGTTTCAAAGACCTGGTGAAAAAGAATTTAGATTTTATGGATCCAAGATTAAAGTACTTTCTCGCCTCATCTCAGCCATGCAAGTTGAGAAATTGCTAAAGAAAGGATCCTGCCAAGGATATTTGGTTAACCTTACTGACACATTAGAAGGAAAGACAACTATGGATAACATACCAATAGTAAGAGAGTATCCAGATGTATTTTTCGACGACCTACTAGATATTCAACCTGATAGGCAAGTAGAATTTACAATTGATTTGATCCCTAGAGCCGCGCTAATGTCTGAAGCACTTTGCAAAATGGCCCCTAAGGAGCTTCAAGAGTTGAAAATACAATTGGAAGAACTAAGTAGTAAAGGTTTTATAAGGCCAAGTGTGTCCCCATGGGAAGCTCCAGTACTGTTGGTTAAAAAGAAAGATAGGTCAATGCGGATGCACATTGATTATAGTAAGTTGAATAGAATAACTATTAAGAATAAGTATCCACTCCCAAGAATTGAAGATTTATTCGATCAGTCGAAGGGAGCTACGGTGTTTTCAAAAATTGACATGAGATCGGGCTACCATCAGTTAAAGATTAAACAAAGTGATATATGGAAGACAACATTTTGAACTCGCTATGAGCACTATGAGTTTATAGTTATGTCTTTTGGCTGAACTAATGCCCTTGTAGTGTTTATGGACTTAATAAACCGAGTATTTCAACATTTTCTAGACAAATTTGTCATTGTGTTTATCGATGATATATTAGTATACTCAAGGAATGTTCAACAGCACGAAGAACATCTGAAAGCAGTGTTGGAGACTTTACGCAAGGAAAAACTTTATGCCCAATTCAAAAAGTGTGAGTTTTGGTTAGACCGTGTAGGATTTTTGGGCCATGTAGTAACTGCCCATGGAATAGAAGTAGACAGAGCTAAGGTCGATGTTGTGAATAACTGGTCAGCACCTACTAATGTAGGGGAAGTAAGGAGTTTTCTAGGTTTAGCCGGTTACTATCGACGATTCATTGAAGGTTCCTCAAAAATTGCAGGGCCTTTAACACAATTGACTAAGAAAGGAGTTAAGTTCATTTGGTCAGAAAGGTGTGAGTAAAGCTTTCAAGAGTTAAAGGATAGACTAGTTTCTGCTCCAATATTGACTATAGCCGAAGGTTCAGATGGATTTATTATTTATAGTGATGCATCCAAGCTAGGATTGGGGTGTGTTTTAATGTAGAATGGAAACGTGATAGCGTATGCGCAAGGCAACTGAAGCAATATGAACAGAACTATCCAATCCATTATTTAGAACTTGCATAAGTAGTCCATGCTCTTAAAATTTGGCGTCACTACTTGTATTGGAGCAAGTGCGAAATCTACACCGACCATAAGAGCCTTAAATACTTTTTCACTCAGAAGGAGTTAAATATGAGACAAAGATGATGGCTGGAGTTAGTGAAAGACTACGACTACGCTATCCATTACCATCCTCGTAAAGCTAATGTAGTCGTAGACGCACTAAGTAGGAAGAAGGTGGGTCAGTTACCAGTTTTGAGGACAGATCACGAGCAGTTAATTAAAGACCTTGAAAATTGAGGTGCTAGTGCCCTTGGCTCAATCAAAGACGATGATAGCAGCACTAGCTCTAAGGCCTACACTTAGGGCCAAAATAATAGAGGCCCAGAAGAATGACCAATTTCTTGAAAAGATGAGGGCTACAGTCGAAAGACAGAAACAAAAAGATTTTGAGATAGCTGAAGTTAAGGCATTAATGTATGATGTCGACTATGTGTACCTAAAGACTAAGGACTTCAGAATGAGATTATGATAGAAGCTCTCTCTATCCCTTATGCAGCACACCTAGGTGAGACCAAAATATATCAAGATCTACGTTGTTCATTTTGGTGGAGGAATATGAAAGGGAGAATAGCACGATTTGTATCAAAGGATCTTTTTTGTCAACAGGTTAAAGCAGAGCATCAAAGGCCATCAGGACTATTGAATCTAATAGATATACCATAAGGAAATGGGAAAAAATAGCAATGGACTTCGTAATGGGGTTCCCTACATTAGCAAGGGGTCATGAAGCTATTTGGGCAATAGTGGATCAATTGACAAAGTCAGCTCACTTTCTCCCAATCAGAATAATTTTAATATGGATCAATTTGCACAGCTCTATGTTAGAGGGATAGTCGAACTCCATGGGGTTCCAATGTTGATTATATTAGATCGAGATCCCAAGTTTACATCAAAATTTTGGAAGTGTTTACAAACCGCAATGGGGACTGAGTTGACTTTTAGTACTGCTTACCATCCCTAGGCCGATAGGTAATCGGAACAAAACATCCAACTTTTGGAAGATATGTTGAGAGCTTGTATCTTAGATTGGTGTGAAAATCAGGAAATTCACTTGCCGTTGGTAGAATTTGCCTACAACAATAGCTTTCAAGCTACTATTAGAATGGCGCCATACGAAGCCTTATATGGTAAATGATGTCGTTCACTAGTATACTGGGATGAAGTGGGTGAAAAGAAAATGTTAGGTTCTGAACTCATTAAGAAGACAATGGCGCTATTGAAAAGATGAAAATGAGAATTAAAACAGCTAAAAATCGTCAGAAAAGTTACGCTGACAAAAGAAGGAAAGAATTGATGTTTGAGGTTGGAGATAAAGTTTTTCTGAAAGTGTCACCAATGAAAGGTGTGCTACAATGGAGAGAAAGGAAAGTTGAAACTGAGATTTATTGGTCCATTTGAGATACTAGAAAGAGTTGGAAATGTGGCGTATCATTTGGCATTGCCACCAAAACTATCAGCTGTGCATGACGTATTTCATGTCTCCATGTCGAGGAAATACCTTTATGACCCAAGTCATGTGATCTAGGATCAAGTGATTAACTTACAGGAGGATCTAACGTACGAGGAATCGCCAATCGAGATATTAGAAAGAAAAGTTCACTGGTTGAGAAATAGGGAGGTGCCATTATTAAAGATCCAGTGGGGGTAATCATACAATAAAGGAGGTTGCCTGGGAGAGGAGGAAGAGATCAAGACCAAGTACTCGGAGATTTATGAAACGTAAGTCAAATCTCGAGGATGAAATTTAATCTCAAGGGGAAGAGTTGTAGCGATCGAAATTTTTTATAAAAATAAAAATAATAATATTTAATTTTGCGTCCCTACAAATCGTTTCCCAGTTTATGTGCAGTAAATGGCCATGCATTTAGTGAGCTAACTTTCTCTAGTCCATATAAGTTGCTTGTTGCCCTAGGAATATTCTAAGATGGACTACAGTAAGTTAGGCTTTTGTCGTTTAATTTTAATAGAGATAGTATTAACATAAGTTGTGATTTAGTTAAAATTCCTAGTTCCTAGCGTATTCTCGGTATCGCGAAATTGATTATTAAATTATTGAAGTTACAAATTTTTTTAAACAATATTAGACTCGTTTGGTGGCTTATAATTAATCGTGCATAATGGTTTCAAAAAGAATTTAATCCGGATAAAGACAACTAAGTTAGAGGGAATTGAAGTAAAGCTATGGCTATTAAATTTTGAAGGAATTCCATTTTCTTGGTTAATGCTTGGGTTGGATTTCACGTGTGATGTGCATATCAATTATCACCACATTTGCTATCTTTGAGGATTTGATTGGATGATTTAAATTGGTCTAAAATTATCCTAAACCAATTGAAGGAAAGAGCTCAAATTGTGTAGAATTTCCTATCGCACACGTCTTTCCATACCTTCACATAATATTAGTCCCCCCCTCAATTTGACCCCCCCCCCCCCCTCCCCCCCCCCCCCCCAAACTCCCCCCCCCCCCCCCCCCCCCTCCATTTTCTTGAATAAAACATTAAGAAGGAAAAAAAAAACATATTTCGACCTGGTGGCGTAGTAGTGCACTAAACGTTGGTATGTTGTCTCCGACATGCCATTGATTAAAGATTTAATGACATGAATATATGCTTAAAGTATGCCATGTTTGGATTTAACGTATGTAGGAATCTATTGAGTATTTCTATGAAATACTCATTCTTTCCTAACTATTTCAGATTAAAGCGTTCGAAGGCAGTGTGGAGGGGAGTGGTGGTACATTGATGTGAACCCCAAGAGTCATTAATTGAATCACGTTTAGTTGGAATAATTGTTCTAAACATTTGAATTATTTGAATCAGGATTTGTTTTTGAAAGCTTAAAGATGGAAGTTTGATTGAAATTTATTAATGTTTGGTAGGATATTTTATGGTGATTTATTTAATCCATACGAACTGCAACGTTAGGAATTTGGATATACCTTCAGTTTCTGATCTACGTTTAAAAATTCTCCCACACCAAATTTCTTGAAATTTTGAGTTGATTCCAGTTGGAGTGGATAGCCATATGAGTTATCTATCTATCGAATTTGAAATCACAAATTTTGATTGTGTAAAACTCAAGTTATTGATGTTTTTCCCGGAGGTGACAGAATGCAGCCGGGAATAACTAGATCCGGTTTTGATAATAAATTTGACCCATCTACCCATTGAATTTATGCACGAAATTTTAACCTATAATTCTCCTATGTGTAAAGTGTCTACAGTTTAAATTTTGTAATTTTTGGATCCCATTTAGTTGTTGAACGAAATTTATTTCAGAAAGTGGCGCAAGCTGAAAATTTTAAAAAAAATAAAATAAAATTCGAAGGAACAATTCTTAGCCTTGTAATGGACTCTGAAGCCATAATTTTTTTTTCGTCCCAGTTAAATTTTTACATTTTTATAAACAAATCTGGGTAGAATTTTATAAAGTTAAGATCTTTGTAATGTCACGAGTCCCTAGGATTCGGGGCGATACAAATTTGGTGCCAAATTGGGAGAAATACCACTTCATGGTGCGAGAAGGAATAGTACTTGGACATAGGATTTCAGCAGATGGTATCGAGGTGGACAGAGCAAAGATTCATGTGATAGAGAAGCTACCTCCACCGATAGTGACATCCATCCAATAGCTGAATTGGACCATGACTTGAATATTGAAGATGCTAGGGGATCAATTCAATGCGCTTGGAAGCTAAGAGGGATAAACTATAGGCAAAAAGGAGGGAAGAGATGATGAGTAGAAGTTCAAGGACCAAAATGTAAAAAAAATGAATAAGGCGACCAAAAATTTGTACCATGCGTCACGTAGCACAACTTACCATGTGGTCGCGAGGTGCCCTGCAATAAATAAATAAATAAAATAAAATTGAAGCATCGCACTTGAACTATGCAGCCGCAAAGTTATAAAAATATGCCGAGTCTCAGGTTTCCTTATACGATTAAACTCAACTTGACAAGGTTTGGGCGATATTTTTGACCTAAATTTGAGTCATATAAATACTAGAACATCCCATACATATGCGTCTCTTTTATAAAACAAAAATAACTCGAGAACTTGAAGATCTCAAGAGAATTGTATTGAAGAAGAGGGCAAAAGTTAACTTTGAGAGAGCTTTCCAACCGAGGAGTTGCAAGAAGATTATCAAGAAGACTTCATACTAGGAAATTTGCACAAAGATTGGGAGGAAAATTGAAGAGATATCAAGAATCTATCATTTCACTTCAATTATTCAATTTCCGATGATGTTTATTAACCTATTAATGAGTTCTTGTAATTTCAACATGCTCGGCCAAGATTTTTACATTGTTAGGATGAGATGAAACCTTGTTATGAGATTTTTGGTTTGAATAATTGGATTGACGCTAATTTATTTGAATGATTGGATGTTTATTATACTCTCTGCTTCTCATGATTTCAATAAATGTTCTAGCTCGGTTAATGCTTTCTTGCATGTTCATATATTTCGTAGAGATATAGGAATGTCACATGTAGGAATAGATTTAATTGCTATCAAGAGAAACTTTTAAATTAAATAGGAACATTGACCAACGAGAATGATATCAAACTGTCACTTTCAACTATTGAACTAAAAATGGATCAACAAAGGGAACTCTACATCTTAGAATTACATCCCTCAAATTTGATAAAACTTTACATTGCTTTTGAGTTAGTTGATATTTTAGACATTAATTGCTACAACTCTTTATTGCTATTCGATTAAGAGTGTTAATAGCTTTAACTCGATGAAACACACAGTCCTCGTGGATTCGACACTTAATTCACCATTATATTACTTGATCAGGATTCCATGTTAAATTTTTAATCAATTTAAAAGTTATTTAATATTACATACAAATTATAGTACCAAATGTAGTTTTAAAAGTTTTAACAAAATAAATATAGTTTCATACAATAAACAAGATATATTATAAGAATGATGCTAGAAAGACATGGCTATGTCACCCAGTTGGCTGTGGCCTGTCCCCCACTGACCCTAGTCATATGTTCTCCCAGGATGGACATGGCCAACATCGCCCTATCCATCTAGAATAATTCATATTATAACATTGCCAATTGAAATATTTAGAGTTTTTTTAATTTTTATTAATTAGTAAAAGATAGAAATTTTTTTAATTAACTTAAGAAAATATCGATAATGTAATGAAAAAAGAGAAAAAGAGAAGAGAGGAAAAAAGTTAATAGACTTATGTGGATTTTATTTAGAACCAAAGGCA